CTCTCTCTCTCTCTCTCTCTCTCTCTCTCTCTCTCTCTCTCTCTCTCAATCTCTCTCTAGTGTAGCCCAGGCTGGCATTGAACTATCAATGCCCTACCTCAGCCTCTTGAATGATATGATTGACAAGCGTGTGCCACAGTTCCTGGCATGTGATCTCATTTTAAAATTTAAAAAAAATCATTATTTTAAAAGAAATTAAAAAGAAACGGGGAGATGACTCAGTGGATACAGTATTTGTTGTACAAGTGTGAGGACCAGTGTTCAGATCCCCAGATCATCATGGAGGCAGACTTAGTAGCAGCACCCCCCTCTTCCCCTCCTCCCCCTCACCCGTCATGGCAGGAGGCAAGCATCTTGCATATGCATCGAGGAACAAGAAACCCTGCCTCAAAACATTGTGGAAGGCATGGGACAACACCCACATTGTCCTCTGACCTCATGCATGTCCCTGCACCTACACACTCAAAGAAAGAAAGCAACAAGGAAGGAAAGAAATTAACTGCACATACACACTCAAACAAAAGAGCTAAAAATTTAGTTCTCTTTTATTTTAAATGAAACCATTAAATTTCTTCTTATTTTTTAATTCAGTATTTTAAAGTTACTTTGAAAAGTATAAATTGGAAGCTGGAAGTGGATCACATGCTTAAAGCTTTGGGTTTGGTCCTTTCCCCCCACCCCCCAACGCACACACACACACCAAAGAAACGGCTACGGCTACAGTTTGTTGTCCTGCAGCCCTGAGTGTTCAGCTGAGTGTCTCCTCACAGAGGGGCATGGCTGCTCTCTCCACAGCACGCCTCTCTGTCTACAGTGATTCCTATCTAGGGGAAGCTTGGGGCTTTCACTGACTCATGAGGTAACTAGGATAAGGTGTTGTTTTAAATGTGTACTTCAAGATCTGTCTTCCTTGGGCTTCCGTGCCATCTTAGGGTACTGTTGGTGTTTGGAAAGTCATTGAGCCCCAAAAGTTTAATTTTCCAAACTTTTAGGCAGATGGCACTTTTTAAAACTTTTTATTGGTTCTTTGTGAGTTCCACATCATGTACCCCAGTCCCACCCATCTCCCCATCCCCTCATATCTGCCCTCTGCCCTTGCAACCGGCCCCTCAAAATAAAATTAAAAACACACACACAAACAAAACAAAGCTTAGAAAACATCTCATTGTGCCACATGCAGTGTGTCACAGTGCATCCCACAGTGTATCCCTCTGTCCACACATCGTCACTTGCAAATGTTCCTTGCAAGGAGTCATTGGTTGTCTGTGACACCATCGTTATTGGATCCTCCCTGGGACTCCTCTCACTTGCTATTTCCTTGTGACGTGGAAATTCTGCAGCTTTGACTGACCCTTTTACACATCTCAACCGTTTGAAGATGATGTAGATTTTGAGGTGGGCCATCTCAGAACCCTGGACCTGGGTCTGGGTGGTAGCTGAGCTGGTCTGCCCACTGGCGCTCCTTTATCCTGCACCACCAGGGGGAGCTCTCCAGCACTGCTCCGGCTACGCCATCCGAGTCTGGCCATCAGCCAGAGGCAGGGTCAGCTCTCCAGTTTTCCTCTCCTGCTCTCCTGACCTCCTGGTGGCTCACCCATACCCGTGCCTCCAGAGCCAGCTCTACAGTGCTGCCCAAAGTGTGGGGCCCACCCTCCCAAGCGCTGCAGCCTGTGAGGGGCAGGGCCAGCTCTCCCACTCTCATACCCTCAGGGCTGCTCACCTGTGCTCCCTCCACCAGGGCCATATCCACTCTGCTGTGCAGGCCAGATGCAGGGCCTGCTCTCACAAGTGCTGCAGCCTGTGAGAGACAGGGCTAGCTCACCCCCTCTCATGACCCCAGGCCAGGTCTCCTGACTGCCTGCGGCAGTGAGAGGTGGAGGAAGAGGGGATCACCCCTGCACTACCTCAGAGAAGATGAGTGGCAGAATGCATCTTTAACCATCACAAGTATAAGAATAAACTGAAGAAGAGGAAGTTGCTACTTCCCAGTCCTCCTTGCAAAAGCTGCTTCCTCCCCTCGGCTGCTGGAGGTTGGATTCAGGAAGCCCTGTTGGCGATAGGATCTGCGGAAGCAGGCTCTATTGTGTGTAAACCAGCTTTCCATGTATGGAACCTCTCCACTGAGCTTAAGGCAAAGCCTCTATGATTTGGAGCCCTTAGACCCTCTTTCTCCCCTATATTTTCCACCTTGGCATCACTCAGTTAATAGACATAGACTCTGCCTTCCCTGGCATGCCCTGGCTTCTTAGCCTCAGGGACATTCTAACTGACAGACAGCTCTTGTGTTTCTGGTAACTGTTGGGTTTCTTTGTTTGGTTTTGTGAGGTTGTTTTGTTTTGTTTTGTTTTGTTTTGTTTTGTTTTGTTTTGTTTTGTTTTGTTTGAGAGAGGGACTCCCTGTGTTCGAGGCTGGCCCAGAACTTCCTGTATAGCCCAGGTTGGCATGGAACTGTCAATCCTTCTGTGTCTTCTTGGGTGCTAGGACTAAAAATATGAACTCCACCCCCAGCTTGGGAACTGTTTTCCTTTTAACTTGGAGTTTTTTCTTTGTTTGTTTGTTGGGTTTGGTTTTACTTTGTTGTTATTATTGTTGTTGTTGTTGTTGTTTAGACAAGATCCTATAATATAATGCAAACAAAATTAGAACTCACTATATAGGCCAGAATGACCCAAAACTCATGGCAATCCTCCTGCCTCAAACTCCTCTGAGCTGGAATTATAGATAAGCACCATCACACATGACAAAATAACTATTCTTGACAGGAAAGGATACAGTTTTCTAAGTAATTTATTTATAAATTATCTCAAATATTCTCCCCAAATATGTTTCACTAATCATAGCACATTTCTGTGACCATCTGTCATGATCAGATCCCCGCTGGAACCCACTCACTCTCTAGAATAGCCCAAGTGTGGTATAGAAAGGATTTCTGAAGTGAGTCTTTAAACTGCGTTCTCTTCCTGCATTCTCCAGTGTGTGACATCAGTATGTATGTCAGTTCCCACAGATTATTCTCCAGACTCTCATTTTTGCCACATATTTGTAATTATTGTAAATTTAGCATAAGCATAATCTTGAAATAACATAAAAGTTTATACGTTTGGTAACTCAGAATTACCTTGCGTAGAGTCTAACAGGTCCCTCTTCCCAAATGAAACTGTTGCATTTATAGGAAGAGTACTTTTCTAGGTGTTGGCTACAGACAGGTACACTGGAAAGACATGTATTCTTGAGCATATTCACATGCAATCCACATGGTTTTACACATACATTTCCTATCCCGCATCAGCCCTTCCCTTCAAGTTTCAATTTAAAATACTTTCCCAATTCATAATTTTTGCAAAATTAAACTGAGATGACCTGTATATTTCCTGAGATTGAACCAGAAGTTCACCTCCTAGTTTCCCCCAGCAGTTATGTCCTACTTAACACAATATTACAATTAGGAAATTGCAGCAGATCCTAGTCAGATTTCACTAATTGTATGTGCCTATATACATGGATAACTCTGTAAGATTTTTGTCCCTAAGCCAAACATGGTGGTATATGTTTATAGTTCCTATTATTCAGGAGGCTGATGCAGGAAGAATCCTTGAGTATAGGTATTCCAGTGCTGCTTGGGCAGAAAGCCAGACTGTCTCTAAATGGAAGGAAGGAAGGAAGGAAGGAAGGAAGGAAGGAAGGAAGGAAGGAAGGAAGGAAGGAAGGAAGGAACAAATGAGTAGTCAATCCATGTGCTTGTGGATGTGTTGGTAGCATTGCACCCTGTCTTGGCTCTTCACAGTGTTTATTCATCAGTTCATGGACAGCTGGTTTGTTGTCATTGCTCCCAAAGAGAATGATGTCATGCCCCCTAACTAGTTGCTCACTATCCACCAGGATATGTACTGTGGTGAGCACCTGTACTGTGTCTACCTGTCCATCTGTGTCACAAGTGGGTTACTAGGGCAGTTTGAGCCCTGAGCTCCACAGATGGATTCTAGGGATTACTTGAGCCACACATTTTGCGGTTGTTTAACATATAACCCTAGGGATTAAGATCTAGATGCCTAAAATATCACCATAGTGACTTGGGTGTTGGTGGCCCACCTGCTGCTGCTTCTCCAGCAGGAACTATTTCCTGAATGGGAGGTCAGGCAAGTCCTCGCTACGCAGCCTGGACTTCAGTGTAAAGCTCCTACAAAACAGACTGGCTGGCATTGAAAGAAAGTGTTACTCTCTGTCAGTGATCTCAGTTCTTTGACAGACACTTTCATGATGGGGTTAGCCTTGTTCGTTTCTGGAAAGAGTTTTCCATGCATCCTACTTACATCCATGAAAGCACAGCTTTGTGGTCAGGGTAGTCAGAAAGACCTTCCAGAACCTATTATACACATAGCTGGGATTGTTTTCTGCCCGAGCTTTCTTAGGGAAAGTGTTGAATTGGCTAACTATGTCAGTGAGAATCCAGCAGTACCTTTGGTATATAAGTAAGCATAGCTTGTAACTGTGGCTCTCTGGAGGCCAGCCTGCAGCTGTGTGCTCTAGTTTAGCGTATGTGTTTCCATACCATTGTGGAAGGAAGACACCTGTCTTGGTTACTTTCTTTTAATAGTCGATTTACGTTTTGTTAAAACCATGGCATTGGTTGGATTTGCTAATGTAAAGAATAACCAGCTATAGAGAGATTCCTATCAGAAATTCAAAGAAATTAAATTTACTTATAAAAATCATGAAGCAAAACTTCTTTTGCTACGTAAAGCTGCTAAGTATTTTAAATGTATGCTATAACTCTGACAGTTGAATGCTGGTTCCCTCCCTGGGCCTTGGAGCCTGGCATGTGGAACAAGAAGCTCCTTGAATGACAGATGTCCCTACAGTATGACTCCATAGCATAGTTCTGAAGCCATGGGCTACAGATATTCATAACCAGTGACTCCTGCCCCTTCTCCATGTAGACACCTTTGCACTTGGCCGTGATCACCAAGCAGGAAGATGTGGTGGAGGACTTGCTGAGGGTTGGGGCTGACCTGAGCCTTCTGGACCGCTGGGGCAACTCTGTCCTGCACCTAGCTGCCAAAGAAGGACATGATAAAATCCTCAGCATCCTACTGAAGAACAGGAAAGCAGCACTCCTCATTGACCACCCCAACGGGGAAGGTAAGGGCGGCCATGTTGCTGGCTAACCTTCCCCTCTCAGCTGCAGCATAAAAGCTTAGCATTTGATAAATTCGTCTGACTTGACTTTCACCATCCATACTCTCCTCAGCCTGCTGGAGTTCATCCTACCTTGTGGTTGTTTCTGCTGTTTACCCCAGCAAACTCCCTTAAAGATGATTTGGGAGGGTTACTTAGTAAGCGGAAAAGCAGGCCTTATAGAAAGTGTCCTGTATGTGGAGAATGTTTATTCGGTAGCTCAGTGTCTCCCATGAGCATGATAGGAGCTTGTGGCTTCTGAAAGCAAAACAGCAGACCATCTGAACCTTTGAAGCATGCCCTGAACAGAAACCGGAAGTGCTGCGACCTGGTGGTGTCCCTCCTCCCCACAGCCCAGTCCTGTCAGTCTCACCCACGTCTCTGCCTTTGCTTGGCCTTAGGTCTAAATGCCATTCACATAGCTGTGATGAGCAATAGCCTGCCGTGTCTGCTGCTGCTCGTGGCTGCTGGGGCGGAAGTCAATGCTCAGGAGCAGAAGTCTGGGCGCACCGCACTGCACCTGGCCGTGGAGTACGACAACATCTCATTAGCTGGCTGCCTGCTTCTAGAGGTAAAGGATGTATCGTGATCTTGACCTAAATCCCCCAGGAAATTTTAGAGAAGTCTTTTCAAAGAATGATGCCAGGACCAGCTGTGCTGTCAGTATTCAGCTCTGCTTGGCATCTGCAGTTCAGAGAGGCCACTTCCTGCATCCCCAGCTCCAGCCCAGCTCTCTAACTGGGGACTTCTTCAGTGACAGAGCCAGCCCAGTATGGCAGTTGGGTGAATGATATAACCTGAGGTGCAATGGAGATACCGAGGTAGACGAGTGGAGAAGAGCCTTCTGCTAACTCTTTCTTTGTGGGCGGATTTAGGGTGATGCCCACGTGGACAGTACCACCTATGATGGGACTACACCTCTGCATATAGCGGCTGGAAGAGGGTCCACCAGACTGGCAGCTCTTCTCAAAGCCGCAGGTAAGATGCTGCTGGTCACTGGCGACACCAGCAAAGCAAACTCTGCCTGCAAGTGCACTGCTGCCTTCGGAAGCTGCCGTTCTGCCCTGGGAAATCATGGGTGAATGAGAACCGCGTGATGGGCCACACTTCAGCAGCACTGAAGGCTCTGTTTGGCCCAATGATCTGGGGTTTACCTTGATGTTCACGTCAGTTCCCACTCTCTGATTAGTCTATGTTGCACTTGAGTTGTTCAGGTTGACTTGGTGACTATAAAATCTTGAGCTGTGTCAGCTTCTGGTCATATTATAAGCCTCCCAGAAGGAAAATACCTTCCTTTTGCAAAAGAGTCAGTTTAAGTAAATTAAAATTTTAAAAATTGTTTTAAATTTCACTAGAAATAAAAAGTCATCCTGTAATTGCCTTAAAAAAAGATACAAAAAGCCTAGCCCTGACCTCTTCAGAGTCATGAAGGTCACTTCAGGTACATGTGTAGCCCTCAGGTCTTCAAACCCATTTCTGTGTCATGTTCCTGGCTATGTTTTACTTACATTATAAAAGAGTGGCAAGACAGCACAGTATTGGCCCAAGTCAGAGGTTCTGCAGGCAGAACTGAAACAAATTCTTCATTCCAAAAGGCTGTGCTGAGCCTGCCAGTGTTGGGTAGACACGGAGCTGAACACCGATAGGTAGAATAGCCAGGAAGGCCTTGAGAGGCAACTCATACTAACATTTGGATTCCTTTGTGTGTTTTCTTGCTGGGAGCTGAAAATCAGTCAAGATTCCCAAGATTTGTTAGCACATTTTTTTCTCATAACAACACATCCTGCCTAGCACAGGGCCCTTATAGTTTATTTCTCCACTGATTAAGAACTAGGGCCCATTGGGTGCTGGAGAGATGGCTCAATGGTTAAGAGCACTGACTATTCTTCCAGAGGTCCTGAGTTCAATTCCCAGCAACCACATGAGAGCTCAAAACCGTCTGTAATGGGATCTGAGATCCAATGCCCTCTTCTGGTGTTTTGGAAGAAAACAACAGTGTGATCACATACATGAAATTAATAAATCTTAAACAAAAACAAGAAAACCAACTAGGGCCCCAAAAAAGTATGGCACTCCTGGAGGATAGAACTGACCAAGCAGATCTGTTCCAGACAAGCAGGAGAAGAGTGTGAGTTGTAGTGTGAGAAGTGTGTATTGGCAGGTGTGAATGTAAACGTCAGGACTTTACCACTGTGGGTGCATCCTGGTCTGTGTAAACTGCCACCTGCTAGTCCTTAGGTTTAGTTAAAAACATCCCGCAGAGTCACAAGTCCGAGGAGTACTTGATGTCCTTTATGTATTCACTATATCCTGATCACATCTTCCTCCTCTCCTCCCAGTCCCCTTCACATACCTCCTCCCCGCCTCCCCCCTCTTTATAATGTCCTTGGCTATAGAAGACACCCTTATGATACCTTTTCAGTTTAAGTAAATTAAAATTTTAAAAATTGTTTTAAATTTCACTAGAAATGAAAAGTCATCCTGTAATTGCCTTAATGAGCTAGGGACAAATTGTCCTTAGAGATGTGAGTCCTGTTGGAAGGTCACAAGCGTTTCCTTTTACATAACACTATGTTGCCTGACTCCGTAGGAGCAGACCCCCTGGTAGAGAACTTCGAGCCTCTCTATGACCTGGACGACTCTTGGGAGAAGGCTGGAGAAGACGAGGGAGTGGTGCCAGGCACCACACCCCTGGACATGGCTGCCAACTGGCAGGTGAGCCCTGGCCAGCCCATCTCATGGGTGTCTGCGGGGGAGCCCATGGCACAGGAATATAAAACCAGATGGTCTTCTTGGCACTGTCTTCCCTAAAGAACATGCCTTTGTTTTTATGAAGTCTGCTTATTGAGAAGATGAAAGATTGTCTTTATCCATGAAAGATGGAGGTCAGCTGGCCTGCGTGTAATGTTTGCTTAATCAGATCAGAGTTTAGATGTGAGAGCTTAGAAAGGCACAAACCTCACAGAAGAGTTACCCCGTCTGAGCACACGACCAGGATTCTTGCCATCTCTGTCAGAAACTAACTTGCTCAGAGCTTATGTGAGAGGTTTCTGAACATAAAAATAAACTAGAAATGCTCTTATGGGTTTCCATAAACATATTTAAAACCTTTCTTAAAACACAACTGAGCTTACACTTAAAGGAGAAAACACTAGGTGTTTGGGCCAAGAGAAAAGAGCCAGAGGGCAAAGAAGGCTGTGGACAGGTCCAAGATGGTTGGATTTGTAGGAATCTAAACGCTCTGTGCGCCTCTGGGAGCCTGTTTGGTGGGCTGGGTGTCCCTACAGGGAACACAGAAGACCAACCCCTGACATTCCTACCCTGTGTACTGTCAGCAAAGTCACCTCAGAGAACACCAGGATTTTTAAAAATCATTTCTGTGAATATTTTCTTACGTTTTTCTATCTATCCAACAGGTATTTGACATACTAAATGGGAAACCATATGAACGAGTGTTCACATCTGATGATATACTACCACAAGGTGAGGTGTGACCGGACAGAGTCTCTTAGCCAGTGTTGCCTCATGCTGTGGTTTACATGAGGAGAGGAGAAGCCAGCCTGGGCAGGGGTGTGCTACAAATTGTCTAGTTCTAATTTCACAATCTGAGATCCCTAGAGGCGCGGTCCTGAGCCGATAGAAGCACGGACTGCTGCTGCTGAGGGGACTTGGTAGACACTTGGTTGCCTCCATCAGGAGTTGGACGGTGACATGTCCTCTCAGATTGATTGTCCCTGGAAGGTGAAAACAGTCCTATTTCTTCCTTAGGAGACATGAAGCAGCTGACGGAAGACACAAGGCTGCAACTCTGCAAGTTGCTGGAAATTCCTGATCCAGACAAAAATTGGGCCACTCTGGCACAGAAGTTAGGTCTGGGGATATTGAACAATGCCTTCCGGCTGAGTCCTGCTCCTTCTAAAACTCTTATGGACAACTATGAGGTAACACAGCACCGTACCATTTAGAGTTGTGTGTATAACTAACTATTGGTAGATGACTGTGTCCACACCACTGAGCAGTGCAGCCCACTCCCCTACATACTAATTTCGTGGCAGGGAACCAGTCATTGCCTGGAACATGGGAGGCAAAGGGATCCAGGCCAGGATGACACCTTTTTCCTGAGAAGACTAATTACCTGTCTCTAGGCATTCCCCGTTTTCAAATTCTCAGAGCCTTCCTGTGAAAAATGCTCCACCCCACATGATGGGGATTCCCCCTAAGCTGTGATCAGTGTGCACATCCCTGTTTCCAAGAGGGGGACCGGGGGCCGTGGGTTCATTGTTCTGTCGGGTGACCCCTATTAGAGCAATTCCAAATGAAAAAGTAGACAAACATGGGTGAGATATTCTGAATGAGGCCGTCATTGCTAGCTGCTGCCTTCCCTGGATTTCTGTGCATAGACATCACCGTAGGCAGTCTCCTATCTCCGTGAACTCACAGGCTTCTTTCCCTCCCTTCCCCTCTTTTTTCTTTATCTCTTTTCCCCCTCTCTCCTTTATCTTCTCCATCTCCTTCATCTTCTCCATCTCCCTTATCCTCTCCTTCTCCGCCTCTCCTGTGATTTTCTGAATGGATTTGATCTGAGATGGGAACTAGAACCTAAACACCGTGTGTACTCCTTCCCTGCCCTCTCCCAACCACCAGGCTCTCCGAAGGGATAGATGTTGATGCTTACAGACTGCAAACAGGCTGGAACACACAGACATACTCTCGCTTTTCCTACCAGGTCTCTGGGGGTACCATCAAAGAGCTGATGGAGGCCCTGCAACAGATGGGCTACACAGAGGCCATTGAAGTGATCCAGGCAGCCTTCCGCACCCCGGAAACCACGGCCTCCAGCCCCGTGACCACTGCTCAGGCCCACATGCTGCCTCTCTCGTCTTCCTCCACAAGGCAGCACATAGGTAAAGAGGCTGAGAGGCTTCCTTTTCCTCCCCGGCAAGGTCTCTGTGCTCTGTGAGGTGGCACTACACTCCCTTTCCCTAGTCTTTTCCTGGACACGCCTTCCTAAGTGCCACCACTCCCCACAGTGCTCCCATACACATGAACAAACGGACCGTTCCCACAGACACTCACGTTGGCATATGGGTCACCTTCGAATCTCAGTAAACACTGGACACGGGGGTTAAAGAAACACTACTTCTCATATTTGTTAAATTTAGAGAAAGATTCTAAGAAAGGTGCACAGCCCTGGGGGTCACAGGACAAGGAGTAGGACCCAGGAAATACGCACACTGTATGACCCTTCCTTCCGTGCCACCACCCTCGGGTCCCCCAACCCCTCCCTCAGCAGTCTCCGTCCTTCAGTTCCTGTCATGCTCACGGTCCTGCCTCTGTCTTCCCACATTGACAGTCCCCTGTCACCCCCAGCACATACGTCTGAACGAATGGGTCTCAGTATAGACTTGAGCTACGTCATTGTGCTTTCTACAACCTCAGCACCCTTTCTGTCTGCTCATCTCCCGTAGCCACAAACTCCACTGACACCAGGACCAACTAGCAGTCTCCCATCTTGTATCATGCCAACCCCTGGGTGGGAGGCCTCCCGTCTGGGCTCAGTAGGTTGTGTGTGCCCTCCACCTAGGGCAGTCTTCCCCTGGGAACCTGCCTATCGCCTTCAGCAGGTCCTGAATACCTGACTCTTGCCTCTTTGTCCTGTACTGTCCACTCCTCCTCCACCTACTGTGGATAACCTAGTGGATAGGATGTAATTTCTCATCTTTAAAATCAGAAATTGAGAGAAAAATGAGACGTCACTTCCTTGTTACATCCTTTAGCTGAGTTCAAGCTTCTCAGAAGAATATGAAAGCCGCTAACCACCTCACCACCCTGTCTACCTGCTGACCCCTGGCGTCTGCTGTCCCCTCCTCTCCTAGGCTCTCCTCCACGTTGCCTGACTGGCCCTCATGCTGCTCCTCTGTGGCTGCAGTGGTCACAGCTGATAGCCTTCACTCACCAGTGTCCACTCGGGGCTCTGTCACCCACACCCACCCCGCCACCTCCTCCTCACTCTGAGCATGGGCAGGCCCAGTCCTAAGCTCCCTCCTCTGCAGAGACGTTTGTATATCTGTGCATGTATGAGGCCTGTATGTACATGTTCATGTGTGTGTGCACTGGGGTCCTTACGGCATTTTTATACATGCTTAGTTGTGGTTTATTCTCATAACTCTCTCATCCCCCATCCTTTAGCCCTGCCCCGTGTCCCCACTTGGACCCTCTCCTCCCTCTCCCCCCTCCCATCTCCCTTCCTACTTTCACATGTGTTCTGTTACCCTCCCTACCCCTTACATCCCTTTAAAGCCTGTTTCACACCCCCTAAAGGCCCCTTTCTAGTTTTCTGACCTCTGCACTCATTCCCACATAATACCCATACGTGACTGTTGGAAGCTAGGATCCACACGAGAGAGAGAGAGAGAGAGAGAGAGAGAGAGAGAGAGAGAGAGAGAGAACAGGATTTATGTCTCTGGGCTTCCTTGATTAGTATTCTCCAGTTCCATCCATTTCCCTGCGAATTTCATCTCTCTCTCTCTCTCTCTCTCTCTGGCCGAATAAATTTTATCATCTGCACGCAACTCATGACCCTTGCACAGACTCATCCTGGCCACGTCTGTCAAAAGTATAGCCAGGCTATGACAAAATCTAAGCGTGGCCATGAACGTTTTCTGGCATTCAGTGCCTCATGTTCAACCCGAAAGGTCTCCTTCTCTTCAGGGCAGATGCCCAGTTCAGCCCATCCTCATTGCCTGCCTGAACTCCAGCAGAGGCTCCTCGTCAGCCTGTCTCTTCGCTGGTCCCTCCATCTGTCCTCTACACCGTGGTGATGTGACATGATGGGCCTCCTATCATAATTAACTACGTACTCAGCAGCTAGGAACACGGCAAGTGTGAGAACCTAACTTTGTCCTCTCCTGTATCTTTGGAGAAGCCAGGTAGGGTGACAAATATGTGTAATCCCGGTAGCCCACACGTGGAAGAATGGACACCGAGAAGGGTGGATCCACGGGGCTCACTGGCCAGTATCTAAAAACAAGATAGAGAAGGATCAAGGAAGTCACACAATGTCGACCTCCCCCCATCCCAGGCGCGCACATGTGCACACATCCCACAAACACAAAGTAAATACTTAAATCTTGTATTAGATTTCCATCGTTGTTGACCAACTTACAAGGAGACGAGGTTTGGTTGGGCACACAGTGTATAAGTTCCATGGTCCACTGCCTTCAGGGTATGACAAAGCCCATCATCACACGGTAGAGGAAACCTACTCACTTCAAGGAGTTTGGAAATACACAGAGATGGGAAAGAGCCAGAGTACGCTCTTTCAAGGCCACACCCTCAGTGACCTAACTTCCTTCTTTGAGGCCCCACCTTCAAAGGGTTATATCACCTCTGAATAACGGGCTGGAAACCAGGCCTTTACTTAGCACATAGCCTTTGTAGGACATTTTAAGATCCAAACCATGATAAACAGTAGGCCTTTAAAATACTGCACAGTCCCTGTTACATAATAGACGGTTGATTGGATGCATTAACACCAGGACACCACCGTGGTAATGGTCATCGAGTCTCGGTGTTCTGACATTAAGATTCAATGATGAGATTCAAGCTTCTTGCTTAGTGTTAGGTTTCTGTTTTCGTAGCCACTCTATACAGAAATAATCTGCTCTGGTCAGATCCCCAGGGATGTTTTTCAGGCGATAGAATTATCTTAAGTTTTTAGTATAGACACATTTTTTTTTATTACAAAACAGGCTCATTTTCTTGCACACACCAAAAAAAAAAATGTTTTCTAGGCAATGTGTATTATTTAAAAGCTCATACAGCGCAGAGAGAGATGTCATTTTTAGTTCCTTCTTCTGTTACGAATTTATTTTGCCTTGTGTTCAGCAGTTTTCCTAGCTGTGAAAAAGTAAAATAATAGAGCAGTGAAATAGGCCCCGTTTTAAAAAGGAAAACATGCTTATTCTGAACCAAGAGAATTCAGAATGGATTCTCGTAAACAGAAAGATGTTCTCTCGGCCAGCTCTGACCCTGCAGCCGTCTCTAATGTCGTTTGATAACTCCTGCCGTTCATACAACCAAGCAGCATGGATGGCTTGAGATGGGATGTGGTGCGGGCGGAGGCGAGATGCACATCCTCCATACAGCGGTCCACAGCACAGCCTGGGAAGGGAGCCCCACTGCTGTAGGCGGTGTTCTAGTTTTATGATGGCCCTGTGACAAAACTCCCTGGGTTATGTCAGCTCCCAGATCTCCATCCATCACTGAAGGAAGACAGGGCAGGAACTCCAAGAATTTGAATCAGAAACTGTTGCATACTACTGCTTGCTTCCTCCCGGGCTCATGCTCAGCTAGCTTTCTCACACAGCCCGGGCCTGCCTTTCAGGAAGTGGTGCTGTCTACAGTGGACCCGGTCCTCCCACATCAGTTAACTGTCAGGACAGTGCCCCTCAGAAATGCCCACAGACCAGTCTTATCTGGCTGGTCCCTCATTTGCACCTCCCTCCTCAGATGATTCTAGACATGTGAAGTTGACAGTTGGAGGTGACAAGGACAGCAGGCAGAACAAAGCCCTTGCCATAGCCTAGGTCAGCCCCTAATGAATGTGTGCTTTCTCCGCAGATGAGCTCCGGGATAGTGACAGCGTCTGTGACAGTGGTGTGGAGACATCCTTCCGTAAACTCAGCTTTACAGACTCTCTCAGTGGAGACAGCCCCCTGCTATCTCTGAACAAAATGCCTCACAGTTATGGGCAGGAAGGACCTATAGAAGGCAAAATTTAGCCTGCTGCCAGTTTCCCACACTGTGTAAACCAAAGCCCTGAAAGTCCATTGCATCGTTCCAAAGGAGGAAGGCAGCGCACATCCAAAGGTGCTGGCGGATCACCGGCCTGCAGGGCCATTCTTGATTTCATTCAAGGCCTTCCAAATTTGGCCTCCTTTCTTGGTTCTGAAATGAAATTTAGATGTCATACACAGATGGTGTCTAGCAATCACAGCACTCGACTGCACGCTGTGTGGCTTGGGTATGGTGGCTTAGCTTTTCCAGCTGCTACTAGATTACACTTGCTTTGTGTTATTACTGCTGTCCCTCTGCTGGGTTCCTGCTGTCATTAAAAGGTGTCGCTGCCCCCACCTGGTGTTCTTTCTAGCCATCTCCAGTACAGCTGTGCATTCAAATTAAGATTAAGGAAAAAGATATTTTTAAATGAGTAACTTGATGCGCAATAAAAAACAAAGACATTGCTTTTTCTAATGTGGTTTATCTGTGATTTAAAGAAAACACATGAACTTAACAATATTTAAAACATGCTACAATCAGTGCTGAAAATAGTATTTTCCCCCTTTTCTGCATTTTACTATTGTAAATATGTTTTCTAAATCAAATACTTTAAAAGGAAGAAATGTTGGATTTATAAATGCTATTTTTTATTTTACTTTTATAATAAAAGTACAAGCACAATGTTGACCTCATCTTGTCTGATCTCTGCAAATACTGTCTCAGAGGAGTCCCTGTAAGTGTGGGACAGCCCATGCCCTATTTGTCACATTCACACTCTCCTTTAGACACATTTCTTTGAAGCTAGATATGTTCAAAAAAAACATCTGTGGAAATAAAAGTGGTCTAACCCAAGACTGAGGTTGAGTTTGACACATTCTGGTCCAGGTGATTTCATCTGGACACCTCAACATTCCATGCTATACAGTGTCCTCTCCAGTGTGCTCCTGTCTGTGATGTTTAACATACTGAAGCTTCAGCATGTCGTCAAGAGAATGTGGCTGTTGCATTCATGGCTTACTACGCAAAACCTGTACAAGACATGGCCCTTCATCATGTATGGGGAAGGACTGATGAAACACACACATACACATACACACACACACACACACACACACGGAGAGGGAGGGGGGAGGGAGAGGGAGAGAGAGAGAGGAAGAGAGAGGAAGAGAGAGGGAGGGAGAACAATCAGCTGTTAAGAGTTGCTAGGAAAATGGGAGTTCTTTCTTCAAATGGTATAGTCCATACTCCGTGACTCTCCCCCATTCATGCAGGCAACCCTAATTAAACTCACTCATACACACAAGCTCGAAGGCATGCAGGCAGCCGGGCTTCCACAGGAGTGGGAAAACGAGAAGGCAGTGGGGTCTGTGGGTATGATCGCAGTACATTGTACACATGTTTTGAGATCATGAGAAAATATACATTTTAATTAAAAACTCAATTTCAACATATGTAAAAGACCTTCCAGTATGGAGTTTAGTAAGTCATGCACAGTTAAAAGTAGAAAGAGGAAAGATTAATGACTTCAATCAGGCCATAGGATGGACTCTGGTGTGCAACCAAGGTCATTTGGTTTGTAGTGTAAAGATCAAATCCAAGACCTGGTGGAGAAACAGCTTGGTACTTAAGCAGGCTGGCTGATCTTGCAGAGGACCAGTCAGTACGCACAACTCACAACCATCTGTAACTCCAGTCCCAGGAGATCTGATGCCCTCTTCTGGCTTCTGTGGGCACTGGACATGTAAATGGTGCACAGATATCCAAGCAGGCAAAATATCCACACAGAGAGAAACAAAAAACAAAAACTAAGGCCTTGTCATGTCACGCAAGTGATCTACCACTGACCCCACCCAAGGTACTGGAAGGCCACCAGCTGTCATCTTTGGGAACTGCCTTCACTACAAAGAACTACCTCCCCCATTCCATGGTGGGCATATGAATGCCTTTCCCATTTCTGGGACCTTCAGATGCCTGAGAGGCAGGCTAAGGTGGTCTGGGCTCATCTCCCTCTCACAGATGTCAAGCTCAAGGTACCCCAAATAGACATCTTGTATGTCAGTGCCCATATCAGGGTCAGTGCCCCAGAGAACTCCAGTTGCATAGGTGTTGGGAACCAAACAGGATGATTTTGCATATGTTAAATTATGACACATAATTAGTCTTGAAAGTAAGTCGAATTAGGGGTGGTATGACAAAATATTCCAACTTACAACGAAGAAAATCGAGGCTTAGAGAGTTCAACTCAGTTGAAGCTAAGATGTGCTGAGTTTATATCCAGATATTTAGCTTCTAGGCTCACGAGTTAGGGCATGATTTTATTGGAACAAAAAAATTGATATTTAGTCCATTAGGGATTTGGTGTAAGCTTAAGTAAAATGTCATCAATGAAGAAATGATTAATTATTTAAATAATTTATTTATATTATTTATAATATAGTAAGTTATTTAATATACTTAAATTATTTAATAAACATTCTAAGTGCCTGATCTCCAATTAATCTGAATCCCTTTCTACCAAAATTTCCATATGTATGTAAATTTAAACGAAACAAATTTTAGACATACTACCAAACTTAGATAAGTAATCTTGACATCAAGAAGGCCCTTCTAAGCAAGACTTCATTCTGTGGTGTAAAAAAAGATCAGGTTCTACATCTTAGAACGCATCGCAAATGAATAGAGACTGGTTAAAAAGAAAATTCTATTTTCTATCACAGTACCCTTTCTCCACCCTAACACACCCTTGTTATCCTGAGTTTTGGAAACTATAAAACAAAAAAGTCCTGCTTTGGTGTTCCTTAGTACTTCCTGGGACAACCATGTCACCATGCCTCAGCCAGGACTTTCTATGGCTGTTAGCTGTTTGTCTTACAACATGATGCCGATGCCCTTCCCACTGAGAGACACCATCTTTTTCTAGGTTTAGGCTCCAGGGTCTAGCCCACCTGTGGCAGGGCAGGAACAATGCAAAGTGACTTCCAAAATTAGGTCCCAACTTCTGCCTGCCTTCCTGAAACTACCTTCTCCTGGAATGCAGTTGCCATGTTCAGAGGGACCCAAGCAGCCATGAAGAGATGGCCAGTACAGGTGTTCAGCCAACAGCCTTAACCAAGGTCCTAGCCAAAGCTAGCCAGGCCAACAGCCGCCAAGTGACCCTGCCTAGCCTTTAGGCTGTCTCAGCAGATGCTGCCCATAATAGACACAGGCCGTTCTGCTGTTCTCCTCAAATGACAGATTTTAAAGCAAATTAAATATTAGAGAGGGTGTAGAGAGGATGCCACCATTACTCAGGCATCTGATGAGACAGTTTGCCTACCATACATTCAGCATAAAAGATACTGACTGGAGGGACATCAACCAAACTGCCCATGCCAATATAGAAAATAGCATTTCTCGTCTTTAATAAGCAACCCTGGCTCTCTTTTGTTACAGAAACTTCCCCTTCTTACCAGGTCTCTACGGTATTCCACATAAAGGCAGCCAGAACCGCCTGCCTCTCAATGGAAGGAGAGTCCACCTTCACACCAGCAGATGGAGTTCAACACCAGAGGCAGTGCAGGTGCTCTGGTGGGAAGCTACAATGGGCCTGAGACAAGCTTGCCCTGACAGCTCTCTCACAGCAGGCTGCCACTCAAAAATAGCTTCCTCAGATCTTCAGTCATCTTTTGAGGTTTCTGTACTCTGCAGGCGTAACCCAGACCTTTTCAGGATCTGCAGCCTTTCTTCTCCAGGAGAAGGAAACCCTGCTGTTGCTCATTTACTCACCTGGGTCCCCTGGGGTAGCTTTCTCCGACACAGACAGACGGTGGTGGTCACCAGGACAGAGTACAGACCCAAAGCCTGTTAAGTCTTGGCTAGGAAAAGCAAAGGGGAAGAAGCCAGCCAGGGTGTCTTTATATGCCAGGCCCTTTCAGTTTCCAACACAGACACAGAGCTCAAATCTGGTCTACCCCAGATTCAAACACAGGTCCACCCAACTCCAAAGACTGTCTCTGAGGATGCTTCAAAATTTTTGATGAAAAACTGGCTTGCTTGTTTTTTTTTTTAAAATGTGTCTACAAGCTCTGTGCAAAGATGGAGTCATAATGTGTCAACCTATACACAAAGTGGGCCCAGAGTATCACTAAAAGGACATATTGCTTGGTAAAGCCAGACTTGCGGCATATGTCTGTAATGCCAATGCTCTGGAGGCTGACGGAGGGGGATCACCATCTGTGTGATGTCAATTTAGACTACATAGTGAGACCCTGTCTCCAAAGCAGATGATGATGGTGGTGGTGGTGGCGGCGGCGGCGGCGGCGGTGATGATGACAACGACCGATGATGACGATGATGACAATGATAATTTTAACGTTCCCCTTTCCTGTCCCAATCATTGTTCAACTTAAGTTACAGTATGTCTCAAAGACTTGACTGAGAAGCTTCCCAGCATGGGTGAGTTTGTTCTGAAGCACACGTGCCTACCTCCCAACCAAATGCAAATGTTCCTCATGCATTTCAAATACATTTCTTTCTGCGACTTGGAAAGAGCCATCTCACAAGTTACACAAGCAAATATCTTTAAGCAGGAGTGCTTCCACTTAAAAATGTTTCCCAGTATCTATTTCCGTAACACTCTGAGGTAAATGAAGGGGTTACATTTCCTGCCACAGTCCCACGAGACTCATGTGCTGGTACCTGGTCCTCTGTGAAGAGAGAGACTGGACCAAAACTCAGTCATGAGTCTACAGCTCCGGCCCCAGCTTCAGTCTGTAACCACTCACAGAGTGCAAGGCAGCCTTGAAGGAACGAATCACACGGTTGTGCCAGAAGGAGCAGCTTGCCAGTCAGGGGCATTGAAGGACACTGCTCACAGCTGGCCAAACAGCTGGAAGATAGCACCCCGTGAAACCATTTCCTCTAAGAACACTAAAACCAGACAGAACTCCCCCAGACAGGGCAGGAGGGGCCTTAAGTGTGCATGCTGATCTTTCACCTTTTCTCCTTCCAGACCCTTCTCTAGCTTTGGAGATTGCAGGAGTTTCTCAACACTGCCTGGCTTTACTTCCTGGGATGCAACCCTTCCCTTAACAAGCACATAGCCCTCAAAAACCGCACCCATGTGCCCGGCAGTGGTGGAGCATACCTTTAATCCCAGCACTTGGGAGGCAGAGGTAGGTGGATCTCCGAGTTGGAGGCCAACCTGGTCTGCAGAGTGAGTTCTAGGACAGCCACGGCTTCACAGAGAAACCCTGTCTCAAACAACAACAACAACCCCACCCAGGCTCCACTCACATTAATGCGAAATCCTACCTCCCAACACAACCAGAGAGGCCGAGAGGACCACACAGCACACCTCTACAGAGCCTTACTGCAGCCTCTCAAGCAGGCCTTGCCACCTGAGCTAGCAATGACCCTTCCTACTAGCTTCCTGGGGCTCCACAGCCCCTGCACCTTCAATCACTGAGCCACAGAAATACCACTATCTCCCCAGGCGTGAGGGCAAGTGTGAGCTCACAGAGTATTTGTGTGAACCACTCAGATCCATGCAAAAGCTGCTCTACAGTTCTTTGCATGCTAGTTTTGATCCCTTGAAGGTCATAGTCGCTATTTGGCCCTGCCTTCCCCATCATCCAGCCAAAAGCCTATAGTGAGTGGCTGGGGAAGAGCATTTGCACACAGCGTGTGGGCCAGCCGCCATT